GTCCCAACAACTCTCTTATATCCGGGTTACACTGTATATATATATATATATATATATATATATATATATATATATATATATATACAGATAGATAGATAGATAGATAGATAGATAGATAGAAAGAAAGAAAGTGAGAGAATAGATAAACAAACAAAGAAATCAGTAATATAGGAGGGATAGTGAGGAGGTATGTTGTTTAGAAATACAAAGGATAGAAAGCTATGGAGAATCATTATTGCTTATGACTGAAGGGACACAAAAATTGACCAATCAAACATATTAACAGTGTAATAAATAGTCAACTAAATGTAGTGGATGAGTGTGAAGTGTACACCGGTTATATATCCTTTTAACCTGGTTTTATTTCTAACTTCCTTTTTTCTCTAGCTTTCTTACATCTTACTTTCCTTCATCACACCCTCTTTTCTCCCTCCTCCTCTTCACTACTTTTTCTGATTCACTCTTGTTTCATATTCGTGTGTAGTTTTCTCGACCAGAAAGCATGATACTAGCTCAGAAGAGCTGGAGAGCAAGCAGATATTACAAAATCAGATTCTAGGTAGAAAAGTGTAATGGTTTTACATACTGCAAGATTACTCCACTTTGTCTACCTGGGGACTTCTAGGTAGCATTGCATAAACAAACTATAAATATTGTATAAACAAAATATTCCACTTTTATACAAAATTTTATATATATATAATATATATATATATATATATATATATATATAATAAGCCTACATTTTTCCTTACCAGTAACATGAAACAATCTTCATGTGTTGAGGTAAGACTGACCATTACATAATTTAAATTTTGATATATATATATATATATATATATATATATATATATATATATATATATATATTTTTTTTTTTTTTCATAAAGGGCTGTGGAGATGTTCTCTGTCTCGCCACTTTTTTTGTGTGTATATATATATATCTAAATATGTCTGGATGCTTATGCATTATAATCTGATTGTGTTTGTGTTGTTTTATGCGTGATTTTACGACCCCATTTGCACACTTGGGATTAAAATGTATACATATATATTGTCGGAGGACCGGATGGAGTAACGTCTATTCTAACGTAAGTTCAAAGAAGAAATAAATTGAATAACATATGTATTTCCCCATTTCTCCTCAGTAATTTTATAATCTTAAACTTAATAGTGATTAAATTTGGATTTTAAAATTGGCAGTTTTTAATTTTAATATCAAATTCTATCATATAATTTAATAATTATTGATTAGAATAAATTCTTTTTTTAATTTTACCCGTATTTTAACAATCTGAATAGCTATTATAACATGACTTCGTTGTCAGGCTTTTTGAATTTTCCTATACTTGTATTTTGATTGGTCATTCTAGCTTTTGGAACAACGTTTTTCCCTTGTAAAAAGATTGTTAATGAATTTGAAACTTTTAAAACCATTTGTTTTGCATTCAACATCATCACTTGATAAGACACCAGGAGTGTTGAAACAAAATGGCTATTTTTGTAGTGATTTTATAACATGTTTATGTTATAAATTTTCTAAATAAATAATTATATATATATATATATATATATATATATATATATATATATATATGTATATACATACATATATATCAGATTATTGCAATGGTGGAGCAGTCCATATTATTTACAGGGATTATTTAAAAAAATTGGTTTTAAAATAAACATAATTATAAAAAAATGTTAAAACACACATCCACACAACTTACATACTTCAAGTTACAAAGGTAGAATTATAAGTTAATATAAATATACACATCTAAGTAACTATAAAAATAATGCAAAGTTACTCATAAATACTATGGCACATCTACATCTGCAAATTAGATAAATTATATGGATATATATACACACAAAAATGGTTACATATGAAAAACTACATTTACAAAAATATTAAAATATGTTTGTATCTACATATCACCATGTTTGACAAAATTAACACTAGCACTCAATATGCAATAAAGAAAAACAAAAACGGTGGACGGCTTGCCAAAATCTAAACTCTTATCTAGATACAGTCTCAAATAAAGATGACAATACTCAAAAAGAAAGAGAAAAAAGGCCAGTAAGCAAGTAAAGTGCTTGAAGCCTATATTGACTGGACTGAGCAAAAAAAAAAAATGCTTACCAACGTTAAATCTTATGAAAGAACAGACACAATCATGACTCGAGTTTCGTGCAACGCAATCTTCAGGCAACTTGAATGGGCCAAGAAAAACTCTTTTGTTTAAGGCTAAACACCTAAAATGCAGATTAGCTTATGTGAGAAGCCATCTTGAACATGGGTGTAAATATTGGAACTCTGTTTTATGGTCATATAAAACCAAACTAGAATTATTTGATCACATGAACTCCTGTTATGTATGGAGGAAAGTGAATGCAGCACACAAACCAAAAATTATTCTCTTTACATTTAAGCATTGTGGTGGGAGTATTCTGCTCTGGTGATGTTTTGCTCCTTTCTGGACGAGTAGAACTAGTGAGAGTACAGGGTATTAAGGATAAAGAGCAGTATTTGGCTATTCTTAAAAATGATATAAAACAAAGTGCATGAAAGCTGATTTGGGGCATCATTGGACATTCCAGTATGACAATGACCAGAAAAACGTAGCACAAATTGTTACAAAATACTTAGATGACAGCAAAATTAAGGAATTGGTGTACCGCACATAAACTCCTGACCTAAACCCCATTTAAAATTTATTGGCATATTTGAGAAAAAAAAAAAGTAGGAAAAAGAAGTCCTTCAAATCTGGATGAACTGGAAGCTATTGCAAAGAAAGAATGGAGCAAAAAAATTATCAGTGTGTGTAGTGATCTTGTAAGGAACTATCAAAAATGATTAAAAGCAATAATTAAGAATAAAGGTCACACAGTAAAAATAATGGAAGCTTTAATGATAAAAAAGAAAAAGCCAACTCTTAACAATATTAACTACAAACAAAGCCACAATGTGCTAACTGTATTCGGAAATTAAAAACATCCCTACCACACACTGATACATACACAGAACGCACACACTCAACTAAGCTGAAAATCAAATCATCCTTGATAATGGCTAAAGGTATAGCTGGAAGTGCTCGGAAATATAAAACATTTGGACAGTTCCTACACACCCTTTGGTCAGAAGAGAAAGCTCCTGTTCGAACACAAGAAAAATTAAACAAAAAGCTTAACCGTAGTACCTTGTCAGTCATTTTTAATGAAACATGCATAAATGAAGGATTGCTGCCTAAATATACAACATACATATATATGTATATACACATATATATACAGATATAGACACATATACACATATATATATACATACATATACATATATACATACATATATATATAAACATATACATATACACATATATATATATACACTTACATATATACATGCATACATACATATATATATAAAAATATATATACACATACATATATGCATACGTATAAATATATATACACATATATATGCATACGTATAAATATATATACACATACATATATGCATACGTATAAATATATATACACATACATATATGCATACATATAAATATATTTCACATACATATATGCATACGTATAAATATATTTCATACATATATACATAGGTATAAATATATTTCACATACATATATACATACATATAAATATATATATATATATATACATACATATAAATATATATATACATACATACATACATATATATATATATATATATATATACACATACATATATATAAATATATATATATATATATACACATACATATATACATATGTATAAATATATATATACACATATATATGCATACGTGTAAATATATATATAAACATATATATATATACACATACATATATATACTTGTATATACACACATACATATATATACATATATACAATTACATATATATATACACATACATATATGCATACGTATAAATATATATATACACATACATATATACATGCGTATAAATATATATATACACATACATATATACATATGCATAAATATATATATACACATAAATATATATATACATATATATATATACATATATTTATATATACATATATATATATACACATAAATATATATACATATATATATATATATATACATATATACATATATATACATACATATATATATATATACACATACTTATATACATATATATATATATATATATATATATATATATATATATGCATATATATATATTCATATATATATATATATACATATTTCTATATATATATGTATGTGTATATATATATATATATATATGCTAGCACTCATTTCTATCGAAACATGGTTTAACCACACTTGGTTTATAGAGGACAGTCAGTGGGAAGATCATTCAATTGAAATCTTTCCACTTGTCCTTCCTTGTCATCTCTCCCTTGAGCACAAAGCGAACATATTTATTTGTCGATCACACTGAAAGTGTTGATAAGAAATTAACACACAATAATCTGAAGACAAAATCAATACATGGCTGAGTTAGCACAGCCGTAAGTGGCAAGAGGTAGGACCTTGAGCCGAATTAGTAAGTCCAACCTTACCCTTACCTAACTCGTTACTTGACTGTCTGATGTTCAAAATTCTTTTTGGTTTCTATGCTTTCTTTCTTGTTCTCTTTACTGAGGTTTCATTTCCTCTTTCTTGTTTCTTTCCTCTGTTATCTTCTGCTTTGATTCTATTTTTCTTTTCCTCTCTTTCTTATCTTCTCTTTTTTTCTCTTTCCTGATTGTTCTTACTTATTTATTTTATTATTATCCTCATTTCTTTCCTTCATTCTTTTCCTGTCTCTTTTTTTCTTTCTTTTATTCTTTCTTTCTTTCTTTCATGATTATTCTAATTGATTTGTTCTATGATTATTCTTTGTTCTTTCTTTCTTTTTTGATAATTGTTCTCTATCTTTTTCTTCTTTATTGTTTTTAATTATTTTCACTTACTTTTCTTAAATTGATGATTGTTCCCTGTCTTTCTTTTAATATTGTTCTCTCTTCCTTTTTCTCTTTCTTTTATGATTGTTGTTTGTTTCTTTCTTTCTTTTTATGTCCCCTTTTCTGTTCCTTTATTATTTTAATAATGTCCCTATCTGGATTTTCTTTCACTTGAACTAATTTTCTCTTTTTTCATAAATTTTTCTTTCCTTGATATTTTCTTTATTTCTTTCATTTTTATTTTTCTCCAATTTTCTCCTCCATTTAAATCTGTTTTCATTTTCCCTTTCTAACGCCATGTGGGCACAAACAAGTTTGTGGCCCATATAGCCTACCCAGTGCAATGTAGGACAATCTATCAAGTCTACGTCGGCTCCTCTAACTAACATTCTGTCAAGGTAGCTAACCACCTTGTCAGAAGGCCAACTAAGAGCCCATGTCCACATTACCCCCACCGGGGTGATGGACCCTGTATCTATCGATGAGACCAAACTCTTCTACAATTGCCCCTTTTCCTGCTAGCTCCCCACCCCCTGTCTATCTTGGGGTCCAGGATGGCATTCCAGTCCTCCATTAAGACTAAGCATGTTGAATCCACCAGGAACAGCCCCAACTGACGAAAAAACGAGACCCGCTCCTCCTGGTCGTTGGGTGCATAAACCACAATGACTCGGAATGAACCACTTTTCACGGCAATATCAACCACGATCAACCAGCCCTCGGCATTGGTATGCACAAGGTCCACCTTTGCATCAAGAGTCCACTTCACTAGCAAAGAAACTCCTCTGGCATATCGGTCCCCATATGCTGAATAAATGACAAAGTCGTTCTTCAGCACACACACATCGATGCTGCAAACAAACTGGGTCTCTTTGATCACGGCGACATCCACGCCGAACGATGAGATCACGGAGCAGGCGGGCTGCCTTACCCTGATCCCTCAAGCCCTTCACATTCAAAGTGGCTATCTTAATAGACATCTTCTAGGCCTGAAAAAAAAACAGAAAGGTGAAGAAGAAAACCTACTCACACACAGGCCAGAAATCTGTGTCAGTCAGGACCCCGACGGATTGTCCTAGGCTCCCTGTACCTAGTTCCAATGTCATCCGTCCTTCCAGGACAATTCCGCCGACGTCTGTGGGGTATGTTAGTTTAACACACCTATATAGGGAGGGATGGAGCATAACAGGGACCCTCCCAGCACAAAAATGTCTTAACTTCTCTACATAGGGGTCATCCATAGAAAACATTCTAATTTTTGAAAAAGCCTCCTTGGCTTCAAAATGGCAGTCCCAAACTTTTAGGTAGCCACCTGTGACTATTCCAGGAGCCTCGGGAAGGTTTCTTGGATCTTTGATAGATTTCCCATCTACCATGTCCAGCTTTAATAATAAAGCAAGACTTTTTTTTGATTAGAAAGACTTTTCTTTACTTGTTCAATGTCTACTATACAGATATTTTCTGTTTCAGGGAAAAACCTCTTCTTTTTCTTTGCCCTGGCACAGTGGGGTGGGGAAGAAGTGGAAGAGTGAGGGGGAGTGGATATTGAACTAGCAAAGGAAGTGGAGGGAGAGGGGGATGGAGCTAGAGTTGGTGAGGGGGGAGACTCCTATCTTTTGGTAATTGTTCCTTTGCTTCCTTTGGTGATGCCGGTATAGATAAGGATCTGCTTTTGGGTACACTCCTCTCCACCCTACTTCACCCGGCACATTTATCTATGGGTTTAATTGTATCTTCCTCCTCCTCTCTGGATCTCTTCAAAGACGAAGAGCAAGGAGGAGGCATTTTCTCTACCTCCATCTCCTGGTTGCTGCTGCAGCATTTTCCCTTCCTTTTTGCTTGGTTGTTTGGTTGCAACCTTTGGTGATTTCTGGGGTTTCTGTTGTTGTTGCTGCTGCCGCACATGCCGTGCTGGTTGTTTGGGTGACTGTGTGACTTGCTGTCGAGGAGAGGGTGGGTTTATCGCTTTTCCTCCCTTTTTCACTTCAGTCCAGGCACTCTGGGGGCCTTTTCTTTTTCTTCTACAACTGTCGCTGTTGCTGTTGGAGGTGCATTCTTTGTCGGTTGTTTCGCCTTCTTCCCGGGGCACTCCTTAGCCATGTGCCCCATTGAACCACACGCCCAACAACATGGCCTCCTGCCCTCAACAATGACAAACATTCTTTGCTCCCAACATGTCAGAATGTTTGGAATGTTCTGGAAGCTTTGTTGCATGAGGACAACCTGTAAAACAATGTCACCAGTTGCAATGCCAGCTTTACTTTGTTCAGCATTCACTTCCTGAACTTGGCCATATTTAGCAAAGAACGCTCCCATACAGTCTTCTGGGATATCAACTGGAACACCATGTACAGTTATCTGCATCTTTCTTGTGCCCATATACTCTGTTTGGAGTCTCAAAGTTGATGTTGCGAGGACATTTCCGGCAAGCTGCTTGGCTTCTTGTTCTGATCCAAGAAGATCCCACATTTCATTGCTTCTTCTCGCCAACACTTTGGGTATGATTTTAAGGTTTTTCAGTGCCTCCTCCATACTTTCTCTACTGACCCCAATAAGTCTCTGACTTTTAACATCCGTGGTCAGCATTGCCTTCCAAAGCCTCAGGGATAGTAAGGAAATCATTCCCCGGCAAGTACTTTTCGTACTTCTGTCGTTGCTCTTCATAGAAAGCTGCATCTTTCTTTTTAGGCCCGCTTTCCGACCAGGCCTGTTTTTTAGCTGGTGCCAAATTTTCGGTTTGCACCAGCAGTATTCCTGAGTTCTCGCTCATGGTAACTGATGGCAACCACGGCTGAACAAATTCGCTTTTTGCCTGTTTCTATGAATTATTATTTTTTTTTTTTAATGCAGGCAGAACGTACAAAACAAAATACTGAACAACAAAATAAAACCATAGAAGAATAAACCCAAAAAACATTTAAGAACTGAAACCAAATACTAAAAAGTAATTAAAAAGAGGGGAAGAGTAAAATTACAAACAAAAGGAAATAAACAGAAAGGAAACAAAAAGGGTCGTACAAATAAATATGCACAAAATAAAAAAAAATTACTGAAAAATACACAAAATAAGAAAACTGAAAAATTAAAAAGTTTTAGCAAATAAAAACCTTAAAAGTTGAAATAAGTTCTCCAAAAAGGCAACAGGCAATAGCGCCTATTCCTCTGTAATTGAAAAGTCTTACTCAAAGCAAGTCGACGAAAACAATGAGCATCATCCTGTACCTCTACATCAGCCTGTATTTATGGCTGACACCAGCCAATCATATTCCTGTGAGGGGGGAAAATTTTTCTCTTCTTTCCTCAATCTTTTTTTTTCTTTGTTTTTCTTTCTTTTTGTTATCTCATTTTGTTTCTTAAATTTCTTGCTTTTCTCTTTAAGTTTCTTTTTCTCATTTTTTCTTCTTTCTTTCTTCATTGTTTTTATTTTTATTTTTCTTCTCTTTCAGTTTCTTTTCTTTCTATTATTTTTTCACTTTTCCTTTCCTCTTTTAGTTCTTGGTTTGTTTTTTTTTACTTTGCCCTGTTTTTATTTATTTCTTTCATTGAAGGAGTGATTGATTGAGTCATTCATTCATTTCTCTTCTAGTTTTTCTTCTGCTGCTTTTCTCTTTGAGTTTCTTTACTTTCTCTTTCAATCATCTTTCTTTCTTTCTTTCTTTTTAATATCACCCTTTCCATCTCATTTTTCTCTTAGAGTTTTTCTTTCATTCACTTATTCTCTCTTTCAATCACCTTTCTTTCTTTCCCCTCCTACTTTTATTCTTCATTTTGTTTTTCTCTTTGTGTTTCTTTTCCTTCACTAGTTTTTCCTTTTTTTCAATTACTTTCTTTCTTTCTTTCTTCACTCCATGTTCTCTCTTCTCAGCATTCTTTTACCTTTTTCTCACTTCCATTTCTCTGTTTCTCACTCAAAAATTCACAAGAGCAGAATATTCTATACAAGAGAAAACCCTCCTCTCCAACTCCTCCTCCCCTCTTCTTTCTTTCATTTTCCTTCCAGTCTAAATTTACTCCCAAGAACCAAAAGATACAAACGAGTGTCCTAAACCAACTAAATCTTCTGCCACTAACACATCCTTTTGTTATTCACCTAATTTAAAGCTCTTGATTTGGCATGTTAGCCAACAGTGTTCATCAGAACCCAGTTACTCCATGTCTACCGCACAACTTGTGCCATAAACACCACCTATACCCTTGCCATTCATTTCAAAGTGAATTTTTCATTGAATTCATTTAAATGAGCAATTTATATTAGCACTCTTTAGCAGATAAGAAGAGAGCCAATTTAACCATTTCTACACAAAAGCTGTAAGTCCACACCACCTAGCTCTTTGCCATTCCGAGACAATCTTGGCCAACTGTTAACTCCTACCATCTATCCTTGGTGGAGACACCTGCTCACAGCCTTCTTTAAGGTAATTTTACTAATTTCCCCAACTTTGATAAGTCTTCCTTTCTTATTTCCTGACACCTAATCATCTTTTGAACAGAGTCACATTTCTCTATCTTGACTCTTGTAACTTCTCTAAAACTCCACAGTGTCTCCTTACTCTGAATTAACACTACATATAAAGAGAATAGTTTAAACACAGTCATAGAGGAACTTTTTTTTTTAATCATTTCACCCTAAGCAAGGCATTAATGCCGCTACCATCTAAGGGGTTGTCGGAAGTGACAGATAATGAGAAGACTTTAGTGAAAAGAAAGGACAATAAAAAAAAGGCAGAGGCAAGCCATGCCACTGTGGTAGGAAAGTGACTGAAGTAAAGATGCCAGCTCAAGTTTGATAACATTAGAGACCTTTCTTTGGATTTTGTTATGAATCTCGAGATATATAACCAGACTACCAAACCAGATATGGCAACAATATTCAATGCATGGATGAATGGTAGATTTATAAATGTGCAAGATGGATTCTGGCAAGAAAAACTATCTAGAACAACACAATGAATCGACTTTCCTAGCAATTGATTCAATATGATCACTCCACTTCATGTCAGTGAAAAATGTGAGGCCAAGAATGCATAAAACATTGCTCTCCTAGAGTTTAGCATAGGCTATGCTAATGGAAGGTAGAAATGGTTCTCTATGGTGATTAAATGATAGTAATTTTGTTTTGGAGGCATTAAAATTAACAAGCCATTCTTTGCCCCAGTTAACAACTGATTGGAGGTTATTTTTGAAAGCAGGTGCCAGTTTTATTCTAAGTTTTATATTTTTACATATGTTCTATATACTTTTAAGTTAAATTTTTGAGTATGTAACCAATATTTGAACATGTGGGTAGTGTCAGGCTTAGTACTTTGGAAATGGAAAACAGCAAGTTCAAATTCCAGCTGAGCTCATTATATTAAAAACCTAATCAAAACTTCATGGTAATGACAATGTTTCATGTAATGAATTCAGACAACTTAAGACTATTATATATTCTATTAAAAGGTGTAAAAAAGCTAAAAAATAAGATGATAAAAAGACAAGTCAAATCATTTTTGTTAAATGTCTTGTTTTTTAACTCTTAAAACCAAACAATTCATGTAAGTTTTCGTTTTGTTCAAGTACTTTTTATAGGGTACTTCTTTTAAGTACTTGAACAGACACAAAATCCATTTTTTATTGATTCTGAGATTGCAGAGGCCACTAAATAGAGGGTCCTACTTATAATTATTTGAACAGGCAAAAAATCTGTTTATTATTGACTTTAACATTGCAAAAGCCATTAAAGATTTTGAATAAGGAGGGAATCCAAATGAACTGAATAGTTTGAAAGCACTTTCAAATAACAATGTAACATCACTGTTTCGATTTTTTATTGATTGCAAACAAAATTTTAGTATAATAGAACAAAAAACTTTGATTTCATTCTTTACAAAAAAACACTTTCCAAAAATTTAGCATTTGGCATGCAACTAAAGTGTGCCTCGTTAGATTGACTGCAATAAAATTTAGTTCTTTTTGCATAATGTTCCTGTTTTTAACAATTAGAAACAAAAGGCCTGTTTTCCTGACAAGTACTATATATACACTATGGTTCAAAAATCTGTGGATACTAGTAACCAACATGCAAATATACTGTGGATGAACTAGCAATTAATGCATTTTCTAAACATTTTTGTCTTTTCTCTTTTAATTAGAGTAGCATTTTTATATCAAAATTGTGACCAGTCTCATTACGATAAGTGACTAATGCATTTAATGTGTTGTTTTATAAAAGATCCTTTTTGTGTTAATATATTCTTTTATTTAAATTCCTTGAGGTTTCTCCAATGTATTCTTTGTGGCAATTTTTACAGGTAATACAGTAAATTACTCCTTCAAGTTTTAGCCTACTGTTTTACTTTGTATTAATTAAGTCTTTTATTGTTTAAAATTTGTCACAACAATGTCAAGTAGTTGTGACAAATTTTATGTTGAGTTTAGATAAATTCTTTTCAATTATAGTTGTGATAGTGTTAGTGGGTTGAACAATATATTTTCAATTTGTTAGGTTTGTCAGGAGGGGACACTTTTCTATATTGTAATATTTTATGAGCCTTTTGTTTCACATTGAATATGAAATAGGTTTTTCGAGGGTCTTGAAAGTATGTTCAATGCCTTTCTCTTTTTCATATAAATATTGGGGGCTACAAGTTATGAGCGCTCTTAAGTAGAATCTGATGATTACTCCAGATTTTATTTTGTTGTTATGATGAAAATAGAAATTTATGAGGTCATTTTTATTAGTTAATTTTTGGTGTACACTAAATTTTAAGCTACTGTTAACATGGCATAGTATGATATCTGAAGAAGGTAAAGTATAGTATTTTTTTCCATTTCATATGTAATTTCTATTGTATATTCAACTTTGTTTAGTTTATCTACAAGATCGGATAAACCAGTGTCACAGAGATATATTAATAGAACTTCATCAATGTATTGGAAGTATGCTGATTGTTTAGGTACAGTATTTGTAAAGGACCAACTTTGACAAATTCATAGAAAATACATGTCATCACTACAATTAGAAGAAATCCCAATGGTAAACCAAATTCTTGTTATAAAAATTATTATTGGATATGAAATAGTAGTGATTGATGAGATGGCAGATTTTTATCACTTTATCTATTGATAGAGAGAGGTTTATCTTTGATTGTGCTAGATGCTTTTTTAAAAGATTTAAGCATTTTTATGCTTAAATCTTTTTATGATTCCTTTTTTTAAATTGTTTCATGAATCTTTCTTGAACAGAATGATGCCAGCCACTGCAATTGTCTGCTAGCTATATGCAGCTACCGGAATTGATACCTATGAAGTTGGGATCCCTCTTACAGACATCCATGAAACTTAGTGCAATGCTGTCTACTGAACAGTGTCTTGTGGCAAGCTTGTTCTACATAATGTCTTTTACTATACAGCCATTATTCATTCAATCTATATGACTTAGCTACAAAAAACAACATTGACAGAATATTTGTGTGTGTGTGTATGTGAGTGAAATAGTAATAACAGATAATAACATAAGTGTTATTAATGATACCAATAAACTTGCAATTATGTAGCACTGGTTTTAGAAAATAGTGCTGAGTCATACAGATAGAGCTACTACAATAATGAAAGGTGAATTGAACTGAAATGTGATCATGATTGCCAGTTTTACATTTTCAAGCTTGGAGATCATTTAAGAATAAAACTGGCAGTCATACATATATTTTTTCTTAATTTATTTTTTACTATACTTTTGTAGTCTTAGGTATAACGATAATCTACATCTGGCAACAAGACTTCTGATCGAGAGATTGAAGGTTTTGATGAGCGTGGAAACATCTCTTAATTGCTGTTGTTCCCTGGTTCATCAGAACCTGGAATGGTAGCACCTGTTAGAGTCCCAGCTATGGGTAAATAGTGAACTCCCCAAACAAAAAAAAAAACACTAAGAAAGTATAAAAATGCATATTTATAGTAAAATGATCAACAATGCATATTTATAATAAAATAATCAGCAATGCATATTTATAATAAAATGTTCAGCAATGCATATTTATAATAAAATGATCAGCAATGCATATTTATAGTAAAATGATCAACAATGCATATTTATAATAAAATGTTCAGCAATGCATATTTATAATAAAATGATCAACAATGCATATTTATAATAAAATGATCAGCAATGCATATTTATAGTAAAATGATCAGCAATGCATATTTATAAAAATCAACAAATAAAATAAAATGCATATTTATAATAAAATGTTCAGCAATGCATATTTATAATAAAATGATCAACAATGCATATTTATAATAAAATGATCAGCAATGCATATTTATAGTAAAATGATCAGCAATGCATATTTTAAAATAATAAAATATTTATAATAAAATGTTCAGCAATGCATATTTATAATAAAATCAGCAATGCATATTTATAATAAAATGATCAACAATGCATATTTATAGTAAAAATCAGCAATGCATATTTATATAAAACAATGCATATTTATAATAAAATGTTCAGCAATGCATATTTATAATAAAATGATCAACAATGCATATTTATAGTAAAATGATCAGCAATGCATATTTATAGTAAAATGTTCAGCAATGCATATTTATAATAAAATGTTCAGCAATGCATATTTATAATAAAATGTTCAGCAATGCATATTTATAATAAAATGATCAACAATGCATATTTATAATAAAATCAACAATGCATATTTATAGTAAAAACAATGCATATTTATAGTAAAATGATCAGCAATAGCATATTTATAATAAAGATGTTCAGCAATGCATATTTATAATAAAATGTTCAGCAATGCATATTTATAATAAAATGATCAACAATGCATATTTATTTGATCAACAATGCAAAATAAAATAATCAGCAATGCATATTTATAATAAAATGTTCAGCAATGCATATTTATAATAAAATGATCAACAATGCATATTTATAATAAAATGATCAACAATGCATATTTATAGTAAAATGATCAGCAATGCATATTTATAGTAAAAGCAATGCATAAAATAAAATGTTCAGCAATGCATATTTATAATAAAATGA